GTGTCGACACGGTTGTCCGAAATTAAGAAAAATCACAGTTACTTTGCAAGGGCAAAGCAATGAATGCGATAGCAACAACTTTGAATGTAACGCTGAGAACGGCAAGCAGATTGAAAGGTGCAGCGCGCTGCTCATGCACAAATGACGCCGGAAAACAACATACACAGGACGAGAGTGAATCAACGTTTACCGCTGGACACTTAATGCGCTGTTTAACAAAAAAAGGCACGAAAAGTAATATAAGGTACATATATGAGTGCGAACTAACAAGTGTCCCGTTGTTACTTCGCTGTGTTTGAAAAGCTCTCTCTTTTCACAAACGGCGCCTGTCCAGCGAGCAAAGTGATCTTTGTGCGCCAGGCAACTAAACGCAATTGTCCCAGTCAAAGTCGAAGGCGCGCGATTCTCCCCACCATAAGCGCACGCGCACACAAGTATCTACCTCCCCCTTATACCCTCCCTAACGCTCACTGCCATGCACTTTCAATCATTCTTCTTGACGACTGCGATCGACTGGAACAATCTTCCCTCGGACATCGTCCTTCACATCAACCATGCTCATTTCAAGAATTTCGTTGAGTCACATTTTGTAAATACTAACTTGTTGGTATCTCCCACTCTCGTGTAAAGTCGTGTGTACAGGGTCCTTGAGGTATCTTCAATAAATATATAAATGGGTTTTATTTGCAGGTTAAAGTGCGTGAGTGGGGGCGACGAACACAACTAAAGCATAGATAAAAAATAACAGCATATCCACACAGTTAATGAGGATGAGTGGGGCGAATCGTCCGTGCATCTGTTCGTCTTATTGCACACACACATTTATTGGACGAACGCCATCTAGCAAATGAGATGAGAAATGGTGCTGAGACAGCACCTCATATTACACTGTTCACGTGATACTGCCGGTTACGCCTGACGCAGGACAAGGTTATAGTAAGAGGAGCTCAACCTCATAAAAGAGCCGACCTATCTGTTTTGCGCTAAGGACGGATGCGATAACATTGCCCCGCGTGCCTGGCCTATAGCACTGATTGTTTCTCAAGTATCGAGGAACGCGCCGCCCGTCCCCAACGCAAGAGGAGTTGGTGGAAGGGGGGCGGGTGCGTTGTATAAAATTATGGGTGTGATCGCTGGCGCACGCACGCTATTTCTGCAGGCATTGAAAATGGCTGGTATACCCTTCTACCCTTTACTTTCTGTACGAACATACTGTGCGAAAAGCGCTTCACTTTGTAAAGCGGCCATATAAGGATATGCACTGAGCCTTGATCGCATGGTGGTGACACCATCGTCGCACCATTTTGCAGGTCCATTCATACGCACCGTTCGTGCTGTACAGATGGAATCGCACTCATAGAGCAGCGGAGCGCGTGCCTATCGACACTGTTGTTGGCCGCAGCTCCCTCACGTTCTACATGCGTACATTGATGCTTACATTATAGCACAAGTTCCTAACATGCAGTACAACCATGTTTGGTATCTCTTACATATTTCTGAAGAAATTTAACGGCAGCTGGAGTGGCCGGCTGAAGGCGCTTGACTAGACAAGTCTGATTCCATCTTTACGTGCATCGGCGTGCGAGAGGTGATCCGGGGGTGTCTAGTCATCCAAGTTGCTGTACCGATATCGAACACCGCGCATGCAGCTAGTTTGTGTGAAAGCGGCTAGTGAGCGAACCTTTGATATAGCAACCTCGCTGCTAGCGCTCTTCGCGGATCACATTGTGGCGGCAGCCAAGTCAAGCCAAATTTTTTGGTGTCTTATTGCTGATAGCCTAAAGGGTCACTAAAGTCAAACAACAGTTTATGTCAGAGTGAAAGGTCAATGTATGACAGCATCTAAAATGACATTATTACCAAGAAAGATGCTCTACTTACCAAGAAATTAAGGTAAATGCATGAGCACACGTGCGCTACGATAGGATATTCGCAAAAAGATCCCCATTACGTCAGCGGTTTACCGCCTACAATTAATCACTAGTAATTGAACTAGCTGCACTAAGTAAAGAACCTTCCATGCATCAAGAAACAGAATAAAATGCTGCTTGTTTGTTTCTGTTTGATTCATGAAAAGAAAAAAAAACGCCATGCCTGCGTGGAAAGCACGGCATAGTCAGAATGAAATCTAGAAGAGCGGCCTTTCAGAGCCTTTTCAAAACACTCATTGGGTAACTGCTGCAAGCACATTTGCTGGGGACCCGCTACGGCGTTACTAATAATAATTTCTGGGTATTAGGCCAGCATTTGCTATGCTATATTTTTTGTCATTCTTCTAAGAAGCGTGGTATCCGCTACAAACTTAAAGAATTTCGTGGCAATCGTTCATGGTGTAGCACAACGATGAGTCGTTATGCCTGAAAGGGGTATGCGCAGTTATTAGGTGATCAAGAACAAGCTTTGCTTTTTTATTGGGTTTGAGCATTGGACGACCCACTCGTTACGCTATTCGCATTGTGTGACATCTCGTTTTTCTTTTTGCTGTTTTAAAATACTTTATTACTCATATTAATGCGATTCCTTTCACGACATCAGTCCTGCGTGAGGCAAGTTTGTGAAAAAGTCCCAAGCACCGGCCTGGCTCAGTGATAGAATACGGGGCTAGCACGCAGCGGACCCAGATTCAAGCCGAGCGTTTCTTTTCTCACTGAATCCATCGAGGTAACTTGGAACTATTGGAACATGTAGAGTTATTTATCCCCAGGAAAACCTGTTGCTTCATGGCGGGTGTGTTGTCTGCGAAGTTTGTATGCGCGTGGATGGTGTTATGGTGTCCTGCTGGCAAGGTGGGTATGATCGCGTACTCCTGTCACGCTCTCGCTCTCTGTCGGTTCCAGTTAGAGTTATTGTATATGCTACCTTTAGGTAGCATAGAGTAATTCGATTTCCGGTTTTTACAGCCATCAAGCGTTTCAAGAGTGCTGGTTGCTTCTTTGCTTTATTTTAGGGGCCTTGCAATTAGTCGTACACGTAGGTGAGCTCTTTGCATGTGGGTATGCACTTGAAATAAGTAGCGTATCTGGACGAGGCGTGGTACACATGTTATCGTGGTAAGGCAATTGTATAAACGATTGTTAAGCTTGCGTCTGGGACTCCGGGACAAGTGTTTGATATTCAACACGCTGCGGAATTAATGCAGGCGCGGTTGCATAATGGGCTGTTCGGGGTGAAATCCCGCGTACAATATGCATTTTTTAGAAGTGTAATTTCTTTGTCAGCGATACTACTTCGTAGGAAGTGTAATTTTTCTATTAAAATATAATCACAGTAGTTTCAACGTTTGTCACTGACAATCCCGGTGGCCTCATTACAAACGACATATCACGTCATCGTGTTTGGCCTCTGTGGGTATCACATTTCTGAACAGTGATCAACAGATGCTTTCGTCAGCCAGGAAAAGAAAACACCCCATCATGACGAAAAAATTTTATGTGGATCAGGCCCGATTGTGGCCGCAAGTGGGCAGGATATCTATAGCCGGTGTCGCACGTGCACTTTTGATAACGACCAGGGTAGAGCTGGACCGGATGCTGCTATAGACGCCAAACTATGCCCAGGTAGCGTTGAAAAAACGCCACCAACAGCGCCCCAGTCGCCGCGCCGCCCATAATTTGGTATTGCACAGAGAGCCGTAAGCAAGCAAACGTGCTAGGCCCTCCTTTTTCTTTGTCTTGAGGTGTGGTTTTCTGAAAATTAAGGACCTCGCAAGCTTCTTCCTTCAATCCAAGCTCATTTCACAAAAGTAGGAAGCTCATCAAAACGAAGTGTGGGCAGAATGCAAAATATGTTTGATTTATTTCGGATTGCTGCACCTGTCAATTTAAGTGCAAGCGAGCATTGCATGACATCTAGCTAGTTTGTGGCAAGCACTAAACTAAGTGCATACACGAACAATCTATGCGATCAGTGGTACGAATCCCACTTTATCCGGCACTAATGACCCTGGTGGGCCCTGCCGTGGTGGTCTAGTGTCTAAGGTACTCGGCTGTCGTCCCACAGATTGCGGGATCGAATCCCGCCTGCAGCTGCTGCATTTCGATGAAGGCGGAAATGTGTTAGGCTCGTGTACTCGGATTTGGGTGCATGTTAAAACTCCCCAGGTGGTCGAAATTTCCGCAGCCCACCACTACGGCGTCTCGCTTAATCAAATGGTGGTTTTGGGACGTTAAACCCCAGATATCAATCAATGACCCTGGTAATTTTCGATTTGAAGTTGCATTCTTGCTTGCAGTTGCTTACTGTGCATTGAAGGGTTTTATTACGCATGCTCGAGTGCTCTGTTAACAGTTGTCTTCCGTGTGTATATACTGCAAATGGAGATACATAAGTGTCCACTTTCTCAGTGTACAACAAAAGGCGAAACCAATGCCTCCGAAGTAGCAGCGGTAATGCCGGTGACCAACGAAAAAAAACAAAGAAACATTGTGGTCGTGATCATATTGCGATTTACCTGTTTGATGCACGTGTTTGCAGTTCCTAGTTAAAGCCGGCACTTAGACCCTTCAAAACCCTAGTGTGCGTAATGCTGTGTGATAGCGAAAACTTCGGATTGTCGGTTGTTGCAGCGTGTGCGATGTTTAACGCGGCTGGGCGTCACCTGTCTACTGTTGCACGTTGCGAACCGCGGTCAGAGGGCATGTTAAGCTTCATAATCAAAGTTACCATGGTTCTTCGTCAAGGCTACTCAAAACAATAGCATGACACCTACGTTATCACAGTTACTCAAGCGAACGGCTGTGGAGAATGTGAGTATTCGCATACCCAACACGTTCGCTATGGCCTGTATTTAGCACTCTCGCCATTATGCTTTGCGAAAGCTTCGGAAATCAGTAAAACTGAAGTCATCTACGTACAGTAGAAAGGCAGGAACAGTAGAAAGTAGAAACACAGTAGAAAGGCAGGAAGTTTAACTGAAGCGAATATTCATTCTGTTGATATTTATTCATGCCGATATTCAGTCATGTGATGTTCATCATTTGCTTATTTGCTTTTTATTACAGAATGCCTACACTTCATTGGACCTGAAAGGCCCCGAAATGCAGTGGAGATCGTCGCAAAGTTTGAAGACTTGTCAGTGGAAATCCTGAATGTCATTGCTGGTGTGACAGCCCTTGTGCAGATATATTATGCATTTATAGTGCAATATGCACCGCACAATCAAACCACATTTCCTGTGCTGGGACGCTTCTGCAGGCTAAAGTGTGCATCAATACCACCACAAGGGAAGTGGTTAATCGCAGCTATAGAAAAGAAACATGGCGAACGATTGAGGGGCCCCAAAATTTAAATAAATGTTTCATTCATAATCTGTATTTTTGTTTTTACTGCCAAGCTGAGTGTTTGTTAATACTTACTTGTTATGAAATGAATCGCCACTCATGATTTTTGTCCAACCTAAATTTCTGCGAGTTAAGCTGATGCATTATCTTTATATATAGTACCATGCAGTTTTTTATTTTATTACACTATTTGGCAACATTATAGTTCATGAACTTGAGTAATGTTGTCAAGTGTTGTCACTAGTTTGCATCGCTACTCGGCAATAGTAAAGGTTTACTGTGAAAGTTTATTTACATATTCTACTTTCCTGCTTGTATAGTAACCAACCTAGTAACCTTTTTGGTAGTAAACTTAGTAGCCCAGCTTACTGCCTTCTAGTAAGTAGTAAAAAACTAGTTACCATCATGATAGTAATATTACTAGCTTAGTTTTCTACCTTTCACTAAGTAGTAACAAGAGCTAGGTGCCATTATAGTAGTACATTTACTAACTTTATGTTCCTGCCTTCTGGTAGGTAGTAACTGCAGCTAGTAGATGGCATGGTAGTAACTTCACTACATTATCATTTACTACCTATAGTTACTACTTGGGTAGTGAATGTTGTGACAGCAATTTACTACCTCAAAGTAAGTAGCAGCACCTTTTTTTAAGAGGGATGGACACAGACTGCGCACAAGACGACTTAGTGGGCATACCTGACAAATGCTTCAGCATGCACCCATCAGGGGTGCTTGAGCAGTTGCGAGAGCGCGTGACAATTGAGCAAACAAGGTCGAAGAGCTATACATATGCAAGACGCGGAATTTAGAATAGTGATTCCTAAATGAAAAGAAGATAAAAGTGAGCCCCGTTATTGTCTCTCAGGGGGAGGACACCTCAGCAGTAGCTCACGAGGGATGGGATAAGGAGGGATTAAACGGATTGGATTAAAAAGTATAGAGATCGAGAGGAGGAAAGGAGAAAGCTTGGCGCAGGGACAGCGACACCCAGAAGCAAGGAGAAGATAGAAAATATGGACACGGTCGCAGGAGTCAGACGACGGGGCACCACTCAGCGAGAGCTCTTGTCGATGTCAGGAGATGGCGTATGGCGAGCCAGTCGGCCAGAACTGCGCTGTCGTCGGAGATAGCAGAGGCACAAACGGTCGGCACGAAATCCAGCAAGCGACCGAAATCAAGCAACCCCAACTTTGTCGTTGGTGAACACGTGTGGTTTAGATTACCTCCCGTTCCTGGGAAGCTTTCTTCATAGTTCTCCACGCCAAACATAATCATTGAAAATATTGGATATGCGCATGGAGAACGCGTCCAAGTTAGCCACTGTTCACCCTGCAGCTGTCAGTAAAATAAGATCCGGCATCTCTGCTGTCATGAACTCTGGTCACTGGCATCCACTCAATCTTCTGCTACAGCTTGGAGTGGTCTATCGCATCCTGGGTCATGAAGATGAGATCATCAGGAAAATCTGAACTTTACTATCCCAGCCGCTGCAGACAGTGTTTGAGGTTCACCCAAAACTGTCGAGATGCCAAGCACGCATTAAAAAAAGCAAGTGTAAAAGGTAGACACCACGGAAGTTTGATTACATTTGATGGCAATTTTAAATGCGGAGCATTTCTTAGCGAACTTCGGCGACTTTGAGCGTATCTATCTATCTATCTATCTATCCATCCATCTATCTATCTATTTTGCCCCGCCGCAGTGGTCTAGTGGCTAAGGTACTCGGCTGCTGACCCACAGGTCGCGGGATCGAATTCCGGCTGCGGCGGCTGCATTTCTGATGGAGGCAGAAGTGTTGTAGGCCCGTATTCTCACATTTGGGTGCACGTTAAAGAACCCCAGGTGCTGAAAATTTCCGGAGCCCTCCACTACGGCGTTTCTCATAATCATATGGTGGTTTAGAGACGTCAAAGCCCACATATCAATCAATCATTATATCTATCATCTAGCCTCCTACGACTTATAGCTTCCTGGACATTTCGATGATCGAATCTACACCATAATTGGTGTGGGTTAACATGACAGTATGACGAGCAGCATAGGTGACTTTTCATAACATGAAAATCGTGACGTGTGCCTTGAATGTCATGATTTACATGTAATGGTCTTGCTGTTCTTGCTGTGGTTTCGTTCACATCACATATTGCAAAACTGGTATGGTATCACATGACTGCATTGCCAATATAATTGACAGGCCCTTACATGAAAATCATGACATGCATGTCATGTAAGACATGACTACACGCCATATGCTCATGAAGCTCTCGCGGTCATTTCGCGTGCTTCACATATACCAAATTTGGTACGACGTGACGCGAAAGGACGACGAAGGTAAATGACACATCCGAACATGATAATCACGACATGTGTGCAGGGGCTCCGCAAGTATATGTAAAGTGTGGGGGCGAAGTGTGTGGGCAAATATATATATATTTATATTTATATTGTAGTGGGGAATTCGCAAGGCACTGACTAGTGGGACCATCCCTGAGTGCGGAGCGCGAGCGTGGGCACGAGCTGTAGACGCTGGGCTGCCCGAGAATTTGTACCGGCTGCCTGTGTACTACCTGGCGTTGCTATTAAACTCTCTTGCAAAGTGGTGAAAGTGTGCTGGGTACGCAAACCTGGAACTTCGAAGCCGGAAGCTGCCCACTGCATCAGCAATGCCTGATCAGACGACCAAGCAAGGTACCACCCTGCAAAGCACGGCCCAATCTCAACTGGTCATCGTACCTACCACCCTGCGCCATAGGGATCCCCCCTTCTTCAGCGGCACCGAGCACCAAGATGTGGAAGATTGGTTGCAGCTGTTCGAAAAAGTGAGCGCCGCCAACAAGTGGGACGACCCCTCGAAATTGGAGTATGTCCCATTTTATCTTTAAGACGTCACCAGCCTGTGGTTCACAAACCACCGTACTGAATTTACCACTTGGGCCGCTTTTAAGACCACCCTTGCAGCTGTGTTCGATCGCCCCGCAGTGCGCAAGCTCCGTGCTGAACAGCGCCTACGCGGACGAGCACTAAGGCAGGGCGAAAGCTTCACAAGCTATATTGAAGATGTCATCAATTTATACCGGCGCTTTAACCCTGAGATGACCGAACAAGACAAGATTAGGCATATCTTGAAAGGAATAGACGATGATGCCTTTCAAATGTTGCTGGCAAAGGGCCCAAGTACCGTATACGAACTTGTGACCTTGTGCCAGAGCTTGGAAGAGATTCGGAAACAACGTGCTTCAGTTCGGAGGTCGACGACAGCAGACGACTCTCTCGCTGCCCTGGCCGTCGGAGGTGACAGCACCCTGCTGGAGCAGATAAAAGACTATGTACGCGAAGAGGTCGCCCGACAGCTTTCGCGTCTTTCGTATCTGCCGACCACCGAAGCACCAACGAACTGCTTAACGCCAACAATCAGACAGGCTATTCAGGAGCAGGTCTCCGAGGCGTTGCCATTACCTACGTCTGCCTCTCCACCAACACCTGTTGCCGCGCCACTAACTTATGCGGCCGTCCCGGCAATGCCTCCACCTCGTATGCCACTGTATACGCCACAACCTGTGCGACCTTCCACCGCGCCATTTTCACCTACACAGCAGCACGACGGAAATCCTTGGCGCACTGCTCACAACCGGCCCATATGTTACTTTTGCGAAATTCCAGGTCACGTTGCATGTTTTCGCAGTTAATGCACCCAGATACGCTGACTACTCGTTTTGGCCTCCATACTACACGTCTCCTGTGCCACCTGAAGTTCACGAACGCGATGCCCAAGCTGCTTTCAGCACCCAAACCTCCGCTTCTCGACGTTCTACTTCCCGCTCGCCTTCTCCTTTAACAAGTCGTCGTTCTGTATCGCCTATGCGTCGATTACCCATCTCCATTGAGACAGAAAACTAACTGCCGCAGCTCCGGAGCTACGAGCTGTGTCAACGTCTAATCGTTCGAGTCCTCGCCTGGATGGTTCGATCCGGTTCTGCGTAGACTACAGGTGCCTAAACAACGTTACGAGGAAAGACGTTTACCCTCTTCCCCGCATAGACGACGCTCTCGATTGTCTCCAAGGCGCAGAATTCTTTTCCTCGCTTGACCTTCGCTCAGGTTATTGGCAGGTCCCAGTGGCTGAGTCTGATCGTCCAAAAACGGCATTTGTCACACTGGATGGTCTCTATAATTTACCGTAATGCCATTCGGACTCTGCAATGTGCCCGCCACATTAGAGCGAATGATGGACAGCATATTACGCGGTCTCAAATGGAACATATGCTTGGGCTATCTTGATGACGTTGTGGTCGTTTCACCCGATTGAACTTCGCATCTCACTCGTCTGCGAAGATTCTACAGTGCCTTATAAACGCCAGGTTTCAGCTTAAGCTGAAGCAATGTCACTTTGGGGCTAAACAACTCACCCTACTTGGTCATGTGGTCTCGATAGCCGGCATCCTTCCTGACCCTGACAAACTTTGTGCTGTTGCCGAATTTCCTAAGCAGACTACAGTTAAAAACTACGGAGCTTTGTGGGCCTGTGCTCCTATTTTTGTCGGTTTGTCCGGAACTTTGCTTCTATCATCGCTCCGCTCACCAAACTTCTTGCCAGCCCTGCAGATCTTTCGAATTGGACAGCAGCCTGTGACGAATCCTTCGCAACACTGCGCCAACTCCTTACCTCACCACCCGTACTGCGTCATTACGACCCTAGTGCACCGACACGGATGCAAGTGGCGTCGGTCTTGGTGCAGTACTCGCGCAACGCAAACCAGGTTTTACGGAGTATGTGGTCGCCTATGCTGCCAGCCGCGCCCTCACTAAGGCAGAAGCCAACTATTCTGTTACGGAAAAAGAGTGCCTGGCGATTGTGTGGGCGTTAAACAAGTTTTGCCCCTATTTGTATGGCCAAACTTTTGATGTGGTAACTAACCATCACGCACTATGTTGGTTGGCTTCACTGAAAGATCCTTCTGGTCGCCTCGGAAGTTGGGCACTACGCCTCCAGGAATTCGACATACGCGTCGTCTATTGATCGGGGCCAAAGCACT